TGCATTTCAGTTTATTAAATAATGTTCTCAACTATCCATAATATTATATCTATCGAGCTTTTGAACTTGATCCCACTCATTAGCAAATCAAAAACAAAATTAATTAATGAATGTGAGTCCATTAATCACTCAAGATTAACGTAAATCCACAAAGTGATTAGTAGTATAATTATATTTTTCTTGTTGCAGAATTATATAAGAAATAGGATTCTATTATGGCCCTGCTTCGATGTATTTTAAATACACCGGTGTCTCTCTTTAATAATCACTATTGCTACGATCTAAATAAGATCATTATACCATTTGAAAAAATACACAACACCACAATCTTATCAAAATAAAGTGCCAATTTTATTTACCGATTTTGAACCAAACTTTTATATTATATCCTTTAAAATTATATTCTATGTATATGAACACTTCATACACACAATTGAAGACTTATAAAAAGTATAAAACCCGTCTGTTCATAAACATTTATAATGGAGAACAATATCATATAAATAATTACATAAACTTGCTTTTATAAGCACATAATCATAACAGAAGACACATTCTGCAAGATTTCTGATGATTTCACAATTAGCACGTGATATTCCCGTTCATTTCACCGATGAGTTTAAAATTCGAGTTTTGCTATTGTAAAAAGCTCTCAGAAACAGTCACATCTAATTTTTTTACAACAGTAAAAAATTTTCATATAAAGTCACATTTTAATTCGAATTAAAAACTCGAATCAGCAAACTAAACGGATAAGAATCTTGTATCAGCTGCATCTTTAGAATGTGATTTTAGCACAGGAGGGATAGTTGAAGAACGAAGTATTTCTCGACCGGCGAGATGATTGAGATCGCTAACATGCATGTCTTAGAGATATGGAACGTGCTGATCAAAGAGCGCAACATACAACCTATGATCTAAAAATTGACGTACCAATTTGAAATTTTTTTCTAAACAACGACATTCTTGGGGTTTCAAGTAGTGTAGGCAATTAGGATTTTTTTTTTTTTGAATAATTATATGTGTCGTGCTATATGCAAAAAATATCGCTGTACTTTTGTTTATTTCCTTGCAAGGATTAATATCCCAATGGGTTTTTCTTAAAATGGTTCTTAATGAGACTATCATATGATAATTACATAAATAAAATTTCAAATCTACAATTAATCATGAGAAAATATATCAAATAGCTTATTTTAGACATGCTATTGAAGTTTATAGCATATATATATATTTTTTAATGTTGATAAATTATAGCATATTCTATTTTTTTTTTTAAAAGTCATTTCAAAATTTATCCACGCTTGTAGGGTTTTTATTTCTTTTGTTTCTCACTTAGCCAATCGCCTTTCTCAATCTTTTTGGCTTAGTTTGGTAGTGCTGTAGATTTTAAAAAAATTACTTTTAACTGTTTTGAAGGAATAAGCAGCTGAGTGCTTAGTAAACTATAATTATAGTAGCTATGCTGGTTCCAAAATCAGTGTAATATCGTTTGATAAATTATGATGTTGAATTGTTGTGGATAGTTAAAAATTATGACTATATTATATTATAATATAATTACAATATTATAAAATATATTATAATAATACATAAGAACTAATATTTCAGTTATAATATAATTAAAAATATAATATAATATAATATAATTAATATATTATATAAGCATAACGTGTGTAATACATTATAATATATAATAATATTAGAATTATATTAATATTTAATTATATTAATTAGTATATTATTATTAATATAATAAATATAATTATATTAATACAATATAATATATAATATATTACAAAATAATAATTACAATATCATATTATAATTATATTATAATTATAATATTATATTATTAAAATAATTATAATATTATTATAATATCATGATAAATTTTACAATATTACTATTGTAAAATTATGATATTATTTGTTACAATATTACTATTATATTACGAGTCTGAATTTTAGATTGGGAAGATTGTAAATTTTAAATTTTATTAGGGGTATTATGAAAGTTTCATTAATTGTACTATGCTGATTCCCACACAATCTAAAAGCTAAAATTGTCTTTAGGCTGCTTCTGATTTTGGCTGTAGATTCTTGAAAAATTCTTCAAAAAACACTTTTTGAGAAGATTTACCAAACACTAAAATCAGCTTTTGCTACAAGCATAAGTTGATTTTGAGATGGAAAAGTAATACCAAACTAAGCCTTTATCTCTCCCTTTTGTCACCGGTGTCATCGTGCACCGGCGCTGCTGCCTATGGCCAGCAACCAATAACTACCATATTCGTAAATACGATCTTTAACAATCACTGGCGTCGGCGCCAGTGACAACGTCCATATTAACGGGACATATGCTATTTACGATCATTGGTGCTGCTAGCTGTCAACCAATAGATGCCGAATTTATAGGTAAATACGGTATTTATCAATCGCCGGTGTCTACGTTGTTGTCAGAGTCTGTATTTAAGGATAAATATGGTATTTATCAGTCTCCGGTGATGATTGCTGGTGACTTGAAAAATACTGTATTTTTGACGATATTAAGAGTAAATACCATATTTGCCAGTCATCGGTCCCCAACCGATCATATTTAAGTGTAAATATGAAATTTATCAGTCTCCGACTGATTGCCGGAGACTGAAAAATACCATATTTTCAAGGTAAATATGATATTTATGAGCAAGTATCATATTTATCGGTCACTGGCGCTGGTCGCTAACATTAGTGGACCTGGCCATAGGGGGAGGAGAGAGAGAGAGGTGAGGAGGAGATGGGGTTAAATGATATTTTGAGTTTTTAATATTGTTGAGAACTTACGATAATAAATTATGCTATTCACTATCCATTTAAAAAAAATATATATACTATAATTTACTAAACATCCTATTAAATATGTTATCTCACACATTCTCTTCCTTATAGTGTCTTCTTTGGCTCTTTACATTTTATAAACACTTGAAACCACAATTTTCTAATTCAAGAAATTAGCATTTCCCATCGTTAGTACTGTAAGAGCAACTTTCACAAATCATATGTTGGTTATCTAGCTCATGCAGTAGCATTAGATCGATATTTTCTAATCTTTATCCGGAGTTGGCCCAAGTTGCTCTACTAATAAGTTATTTTGTTTTATTTTTTTATTTTTATTAATGCCTTATTTTTTAAAATTGTAATAAACTAATAAAGTAATTAGCATAGATACTTATGCTTGTCAATTTCTTTTTCTAAAACTGTCTCGTTAGAAAAGAAAAAATATGGTAAAAAGTAAATGCATAATATGCAAAGATAAATAAGATTCATATTTAGACACACCGATAAAAGTTTCTATCTTAAGCATACACATACGAAGAGAGAGACATATACCTATTTAGTCAAACATAGATAAAAGTATATTTTTATGGTTGTTTTTGTCTTCACGCCGCGAGCGAATACTCGATGAAAACATTGTAAAAATTGTCCAGAACTAAGTTTATGGTCCGTTTAGTTCGCTAATTTGAGTTGAGATGTGACTTTATATGAAAGTTTTTTTACTGTAATAAAAAAGTTAGATGTGATTATTTCTGAGAGCTTTTTACTATAGCAAAACTCAAATTCTAAACTCAAATCGGTAAAATAAACGGGTCGTTAGTTTCTTCTTCACAAGCAAAGAGGAATTATAATTGGGATATTTTTCAGAAGGCAAATGTTGATAGGAAATGGGATTGCCACACACAAATATAACTTCACAATTTATAGGAAATGTGTAGCTTCTTCAGAATTTTCTCTCTATTTGTTTGCTTAATGAAACTTCAAGTCATATATGATCCTATTATTTAAATGCATGAGTTGCTTAGCAAGTGTAATCTTTCACAAAATTTAGAGAATATTACGAAGTGTGCCACTAAAATTCAAAAATTAGATATTTATGCCATCTAATCTCTCATTATCTTTGTTGATTTTGATATTCTACTAGAATACTCTCCAAAGACTAGAGCCGAAGATGTCCGATCATCTTGATAGGTGAAAAAAAGTAATCTGGAAGGATATTTTCTGGCGAATTAAGTGGCACAGATGTTAAATATATGTCATTACGAGGCATAGATGTAACTATGACATCTTTTGAATGACACTTTTGTGTTTCTTCATTCCCTCTACGGGCTATTCTAGAGTGGTTAGCAAAAGTTATGCATGAATATGATGTCTTAACCAATTAAATAAAAAATAATTAACTTATGTTTATAGTTAAGAGTCAAGAGATTAAGCTGTAACTTTGTGTCTGTAGGAGTCATTTGACTTGGAAGTCTTCAATATCACTAAAGCTAATCTAGGCTTATCTAATAATTTTGCTGAATAAGTTTGCAAAGAGTCAAGGACTCAAAAATATTTATGATTTGGTCTAATATTCACATTCATCCTACTTATTTTATTTCCTATTTTTGCTTATGTTTATTGTTACACACAAGATAATAGCACTACACTAATCCTTATTTTTTAGTTCTTTAATCACTATGATAGAACTCTAAATGTTGGACAGACAATACGTAAATTTTTCGTCTGCTGACAAGTAATAAATATTCATTAATTAGGTGGAATTTTTATTAAGTATATATCCAAAATATGGCTGGATTCAATTCATTTATTAAGAAATATCGAATAATCTCATTTACTTAAAAATTTGACAATTTGAATTTTAATCTTGTCAACATTTTAAAAACCTTTAGGGAACGTATATCATAAACGACGATTACTAACTACGTGCATTACTTAAAATAACTTGAAATATAACGTCTACTCATTTTTCTCTCTCCATTAATTGATTATCACATGCGGAACCACATGATCTAAATCACAATTTTCTAATTGAAGACGTTAACATTGATTCTCCTATAATTAGTAAGAAGCAACTTTATGTTGATTCAGAGCTCATGCAGTAGCAACCACAGAAATATGACATGTCAATTTGAACTAAACAGAAATTATCAAAAAAAAAAAAAAAAAAAAAGAACTAAAAAGGATCCCAAAAAAACCAACCATTTTTCAAAGCCAGCCGGCCGGCGGACCTTCCCACCGGGTTTGAGCCTGGCCAGTGCGAGCACCGTTGAGGCCTTTAACTATTCCATACAAGTACATCCAAAGATTCAACTATCTGGTCTATTCCTCTTCGTTTACAAAATGTGCAACTATAAAAGTTTGTGTAATAGGAATTCTCAAAAGATTTACAGATTGCCAAACGGAAACTGCAGATTCTTACCCTTAACTTGTACCACTTGTACAAAATGCTAGTGACCAATGTACAGAGAAAGCCTTTATTGCACAATCCTCTCCCCAAATAGAACGAAGATAGATGTCAATAATACGAGTGTTTCCATACCGTATTTAAGTGCGACCTAGTGAAATCTTCTTCAGTCAAGTTCCAGCACAACTTTACCTGGAATATGCTTTTTGTCTTTTGCCTTGTGAGCTTCTCTCACTTGCGTGATGGGAAATGTTTTCTCAACTGGTATTTTGAGCTTTCCAGCTTCAGAAAGCCTTCGGATCGCATCCAACCCTTCTGAGTCGGCTCTCATGTAAGTCCACGAGTATTCTACACCATCGGAAGAACGAAGAGAAGGTAACGGGATTAAAAATGACTCAAAAGTGCTGCGACACCATATAACTTAGGATGCAATAAAATTCTGTGAAGAATACATAAACTAATAACCCCTCCATTGCAATACAGTAATACTAACTCACCAACCTGGGTTGGTTTGTCACACAGCATTGCAGTTTTATAGAGGGAAAAGGTGAAGCTAAATTACAACTCGTACGATGGGGCATGTAAAACTTGCATACTTTTAGCTTCATGCATTTAAATTTCTGTTGTCAGACAATGCTCTCTCCATGGAGGTTTTAAACAAAATCGAGTTTTGGAACTTGTAGAAACATTAAAAACAATGAAGATACAACTTATCCTTGCCATTTATTCTTATGAAAATCTTTATATTCATGATTTTTATTAGTAAAGGAGAAAAACACACACACACACACACATTAATGGCATCTGAAGCCAGTGAACCATCCTATTTTGATCCAATTTCACTACTTTAACTGATGCTTGTTTGATTGCTATGGAAACCTAAAACCACTTACGGTCTATTCAAAAAAACATGCTATTGTGTTTAAACCATAAACACCTATCTGTCTAATGATCTTATCTATCTGGGTTGTACCTATTCCATGAGAGTACCGGTATTGAATCTGTTTCTTCAGCAGAATAGCTGTAGCTAGTGGAAGCCCAAAAGCAAGTCCATAACTATCTGTCAGTGATGCTGCCTCACCCTATAAATGGAGGAGAAACGAGAAAAAATGGAAAAGAAGAAGAAAGAGAAGAAACTTGTCAACATGCGCGGCAGCATAACGGAAAGAGGCCTATATTTCCTTACTACAACAATAACTAGCTCCTGATCCTTACCTGAAGTGTCATGTAGTGCCCACCTCTCTTCAAAAAATTTATCCATATTCTTTCATTCTCTGGGATGCCAATGGTGTCTAAGACAGCATCAAATTTTCCTTTTATTGCCGATTCAACATCCTGTTAATTAAATATTGTTAGCTCAGAAAGAAAACATTCTTGCCTCATTAATTTCCTCAATCAAATTGAATTAGTTTCATGATGAAATAGTCGAATATCACATGCTGAAATGAAGTGAATCAGAGAGATAACTAGCTATACCCAACCTCAGTTGTATAGTCGACAGCCTGCTCAGCACCAGCTGCCAATGCTCGGTCTACACTTTGACTTCCACAGGTAGTTGTAACACTGCACCCTGCAGCTACTGAAAGCTGAATTGCAGAAAAACCTACTGCTCCTCCACCACCCACGACTAATACCCTTTCTCTGTGGAGATCAACACAACGTCTCATTTTCCATATTCTTACATTAGCACAAATTTTGTCACTAATCATGAAGGGAAAAAACATGGGTGCCACATAATTGTCTTGCAGATTATATCTAGTAAATTTGTTACTATATTACAGAACATTGTCCTGAAAGATTTATGAAGACATCCAAGAGATAACGAATGGAGTCTCATATTGAAAACTGAAAAAGGAGAATCCATGATTACTGCTACAAGGACAAGCAGGTGACCAGGTAATGAAAGAGAAAGTGATATAACGTTATATCCAATGAAGCAATAGCTTTCTGTCAATGCCAATGGTTGGACAAAAGATCACAAGAAATTCATCAAAGACAGTATCTACGCAATAGAAACATACCCCTCAGTTATCCGAGCAGTGCTTTTTAGAGCACGCCATGCAGTCAACGCAGCAAAAGGAATGGCACTCGCTTCCTATGAGCAACGGAAGTATATATACATCATAAAGGTTCTTCAATTTGATACTAACCAGAAAGGGGAAAAAAAAAAGTTTTCACGCAGATGAAAATAAACCAAAAGCTAAATAAAACCAAGTCATGTAATTTAAGCATACCATTCGATATATATAGACTACAACAGAAAAAACAGTAGTTCCACAACATAGAAAACTGGCGATAAATGCTGCAAGCCTGCAACAACAATTTTTGCAGCCCCTACGGTCCCAAAATCATATTCCAGTTTTTCCCAGCCCCAAACACCTAACTGATGTATGAACAATTAGATATATCCTCTTACATCTATACCTTCCAGCTCATAAGTGAATTCCCAAACTCGCATTAAAAGCAGAACTCTAGCTCTTAAGGCTACTAATGATTGGGAGTTAGGACGGACACAGTAAATCATCATTCTCATTTCCTAAGATGTGAACCTCCAAAACTAATACTTCATAGATTGGTTGAACTGCCGGTAATGGAACCACACAAAATAGCTCAAACCATGAGGTAGTAGGAATTCTTTCTTTCCTCTTTTCTTTTCTTTTCTTTTTTTTATTATTTATTTATTTTTTTTGGCTTGAATAGTAATAATAGTTTTCTACTTCCTACGAACCATTCTATTACCAAAAATGAGAACATTTGAAAATAATTGACTGCACAGAAACCAGACAAAACCAATTGAAGAAGCAAACAGAATCAACAATATTAACATGAAGATCTTTATACCACATGTGTAACAGATACTGGTTTAGGAGTAAGTTCTTCTTCTGAAAGAATTGCATAGTCAGCATAAGTACCCCTCACAGCAGTTGGATGCAACGCACCAAACACTTCTTGCCCCACGTTCAGTGTCCGGACTGAGGCTCCTACTGCTGCAACTTCACCACTAACATCACGGCCCAATATGAGAGGTAGAAGAGGTTCAAATATTGAACGACCGTAGCCTGATCGCATCTGAACAAAATAAAAATTTAGAAAATTCCATACATAATCAAGTGAAATAGCTTGGTTTAGTTCATAATACTGCAAAAACAATCTAAAACAAGGGTGGCTAGCTTAACAGTCAACAGCACAGAATGTTATACAAATCGATTGCAAGATGTATAAGATTCTAGGTAGAATTTGGACCATAAAACCAAAAAACTTAAACTCAAACCTCCGTACATTATTTAAGTAAAAATGCATAAAAGGTAGGCACCCCATAAGTTAAGAACAACTCAATGATATTTATTCAAAGTATGGATGTTGGAAAGGTGTAAAACCAAGAACTTTAGTTATCCCAAACTATTGTTACACCTTTTCAATGTCAATGTCAATGTTATGTTGAACAGATGTCAAGATAGTGCTACTCGCCAATATTACGGGGACCATAGCAAAAGCTATATAACATATACAACCACACACACACACCAAAGGATATTGAAACATGAAAACTGGGGGTATGCATTATAGCGAATGGTAATTGAGATGAATTGTCTGTATATTTTCATTATCAAAGTATGGAATATATACAGCCTATGAACATGAGTCAACCGTGTACAGCTAATGAGAAAAGAATGTGCAGCTAATGAGAATATAATACATTGATTACAAATAAATGCGAATAAGGAAAGAGTAATAAGTGATATGGAAATAATCATGTCTTGATATGCATTTCCAATTGTTGCCTGTTGGCATGCCCAAAATGTTGGACATCGGAATTCGACCACCATGAATAAAATCCCTCATTCTAAATTTCATCCCCCTTCAACAAGTAGGGCCCTGTTTACACGGAACTCAAAGAAACGCTAACCCTCTAACCAGAACTCCAATCCACTTCCAATTTACTGTACTAGAAACTATTTAGGAATCAATATACGCTACAACATTTTGTTTATTTGACATGAAATTTCAAAAGAACGTAAAGGAAAAGAATATCCAAATGAAGCGTTGGGATTAAAACCTGATATCGTCCTCGATTCAAGAAGTATAAATTCTTCAATAATTTCCACTCCTAAATGTAGAATTAAAAATACTTAAATGACTGAATTCCACTTCACTAGAGTCCTAAATTAACTTCCCGCACCGATTCCTTTGCCCGCAGTTTCTCTGAATCCAAACAGAAGCAAATGTCCAAGAAAAAGGAAAAGGAAAGAGCAAGAGAAGCTCACTCTGGTATCGAGTGGATTAATGGAGACAGCATGAGCGCGGACGAGAATTTCATTTTGCTTGAGATCGGGAACATCGACATCGGGACGGAGCTCCAGAACCTCGGGCCCGCCGAAGCGGGGCAAAACGACGGCTCTGCAGCTGGTAACGACGCTTCTCCGCCCTATCTTGAGGAGCTGCCGGCGAAGCCAACTGCGATTCGCTTCCGATAAGCCATCTCCAACACTCCGATTTCTCAGAAATCGCATTTTTTCTTCACTGTGGTGATCAAAGGATCAAAGTAGAATGAAGCTCAAAGCATTGAAGATGTATTAACACACACACACACACACACATATATATATATAGAGAGAGAGAGAGAGAGAGAGAGAGAGGACGTGTCTGTGTTTTGGTCCGCGAAGATGGAGGGAACGGGGAAGCGCAAGCGCTGGCTTCTTTACTTGCGCTATTTATTTGTTTATTACAAAAAATGCCCCTGAATTTTCGTTATTGTCTCAATGTGGTTTATTAAAGGTTTTTTTTTGTATGGACACCCCTCAACTTTTTGAACTTGACAATTAGTCAGGTCGCTATTTCTTTTTTGACAATTGACCCCTCAACTTAAAAATTTGTACAATTAAATTCCAATAAAAAACATCTTTTTTTTTACTATTCTGATCACGTGAGCATCTGTTGAGGATAATGAAGGTCATTTCTCACCCGATTTATTCAGTTATATCAATATTAAATCATATGATATGACCGAAATAATTGTCACGTGATTAGAAAATAAAAAAAAGAGAAAAAATATTAGTGATTGTAATTTTATTTAGACTTTTGATTAATGATATTGAGATTATCGTTTTCTTCTTTTTGAGCTCTTATTTTCCGTCTAAATTCTATCTCCTATGTGATTCATCCTTTTTTATTTTGGTTCTATTTCTCTTTTTTTATTATGTTTTTTCTCTAAATTCTATCTCTGTTTTCAATTCTACCTAAGAAATGATGGTAAATGCCCATTCTTTTTAGTTTTCTTTATTTTTTGTTGGGATTTCGTACACTATATGGAAGAAAATGAAGAACAATGGAGTTCATGAACAACTAATTTGTCAATCCTTAATGTTCTTTACCTTTTCATATATATATATATATTGTAAAATTAACTCATGAGACTTACACGTCATCATTTTTATTCAAAACTTAGATTGAGCTATGAGGGTGTTTTTTTTTTTTTTTCATCACAATGTACGTGCCACTTTCCATTCAAGGCCATTATTGAGAGGATGAACAATTGTTGAAACTAGACTTGAGCAGTTCAACCAAAACTCGAGAAAAGGTGTTCTTTTCACAACTTTAATGTTTTGAGAGCATAGAGGACAATTTTAAAGTTTATTAGGGGTGTGCATATCACTTTTCATAGTTCATAGCGCATATCAGAATGAAAATCAAAATTCGAGAACATAAAAAATTCACTTTTATTAATTATACACTCACATCCATCCTCATGTGCACAATATGGGCCCGTTTAATTCACTGATTCGAGTTAAGATATGACTTTATGTGAGAATTTTTTACTGTAATAAAAAAGTTAGATGTGACTGTTTCTGAAAGTTTTTTACTGTAACAAAACTCAAATTGGTGAAATAAACATAACCTAATTCTCGTGATAACCCCTCCGTACTTCATTTAATCATTTACATGGTAATTTGCAGTAGACACATACATGCATGTACGTATATAATCTACACATAACAGTAGTATATTTACACACTTTGGACACAAAAAATAGAAACGAATACCTTTTTATTCCATTATTTCTTTAAACCATCAAACCTAAGAAAAAATTAAAATATTGTCCTCCCTTTTTTCCTCCTTTTATCCATATGCGTATATACCCGCATGTGGACCCCTTTCATATCCGGAATACTATACATCTTTTCAGCTAATCACAAATTTACATGTCAGCGCTTATTCTCATAAAATCTTGAATGTAAATCTCTATCAGGTTACAAGAAAAAACCAATGACGATGTTCATTATTGGTGCTAGTTGTAAGACGATATACTTATTGACAGTAAAGAGTAATGTTATAGATGGTGGAAATAAAACATTAAAAGAACATTGACTTTGAATCTTTCTCAACAGCTTGAAAAAGTTTTGAATTTGAATCCCTTTGGTATTTGATGAGATAAATCTATTGATGGTGGTCAGTAAAATAAACATTACATAAAAGTTTGAAATGATTTTAAGATTTCATTATCCTTCTCATATGTTGTTCGGAATCATACTTGTTTGCATGAAAACTGATCTCAATTCATATGCTGATGAAATGTGTTGTTAGAAGCAGCACACAGAGATCATCCTAACCAGTATATTACTCATCCTTTGGGAGAACAGGTTGCCTAACTAGTAACTTTGGACAAAATGGTGGCGGCAAAATTGTCAAATCAACCTACGGCTTTTCCTTCTGGCATTTTCTCGCCGGAAACAATGGGTTTGTTGCTAGCAGGACTTCCGCTCATGATTCCATTGCCGCTGGCAGTAACATTATTTGAGTTCCCTGCATCTACTACAACATTGACAATTTCAACCTTTTTAGGTTCAAGAATTGAAGCTTTGGTGGCTAAAGCAGCAGTAGCATGCAAAGCCGGGGCAACTAGTGCAGCATCGGCATGTTGCAGCTTCGGTGTTGTTTCAGCAGAAATCCTGGCCCTAAAACCACCGCCTCCAAAGTTATCCGTACTACTTTTCTGCTGCTCTGCTGAGGCTGCCTCATTCACAGCATAAAGTTGTTGCAGCCGGTAATCAGTTTCAGGCCGACGACATACCTTCCTTAGCGGCACAATTTCCTGACAGAACAAAAGGCAAGAACCGATCAGTTTCTTCCTCGAAAACAATCGAATAATGAATTTACACAGATAAAAAAGTTTTCCATCGTCATTTGCATCCCCTGCAGAAAGCCCAAGATAGTCTTTAATGGAACATTCTACTATCAACTATGTCCCACTTTTCACATTTTGAGCGTCTGAAACTGAAAATCAACCCTTCAAAAAGGACTCGTGAAAACATGATTTCCTTCCCCGCTATAGTGATTAAAGCACATCAATTGTTACAGGATACACAAATCTATGTTGGATTAAGTCCATAAAATCATCGCTCATGATTAGTTTAATTGAAAATATTTCCAAATGATGTCATTCTCTGATTAGATCTAGAATGAAGGCATGTCAATTTGCTTCATTGAAATTAAAGCAATGTACAAATCGAAGTCTAATCTGTACAACAAAATGTAGCTCATCCCCATTTTCAGAAACTTCATCGTGAAAGCTCTTATCTGGAATATCAGGGCGTAGAAAGATCTGAATCAATTAGATCGTTAGTTTTTCTAGTTAAAGCAACTATTACATCTATGGAGATAGTGTTTTTCCATGAAAACCACAACATTTCAGCTTTCACAATCCTATTGTGAAAAAAGGCGCGAGATTTTCTTTCCTTAGACACAAGATTTTCTTAAAACAAATAAATAACCATTGTAGCCACATGCAATCATTCTAAAGACCTAAAATCATCATTCCCCATGATACAGCTTCTTGAGTAATTGAAATCAATCACTAAAGTGATCATGATCTTAATAATGAGATAAACTTAATTGTAAACATAACTATAAAATTCCTAAACAATCCCAAAAAATAAACGTAACTATAAATTCCTAATAATAGTCCACATCTTGTTCCTCGTCAAAAATATATTACCTCAGACTGATCATGATCATAGCGCACCAGAAACCTACAACGACACCCCCTCACATCATGTCTTCGTCTTTGAGCGTCAAGGACATGAGCATCAAAATAAAGAGCTTGCTCTTTACCCTCCTGTAAATTTTTATAAATGAATTTTCGAAGAAAAAATAATGAGAAACAACTTCTCTTTCAATATTCAACATATCATATTTATCAGCCCCTAAAAATAAGTCTCCACCTGAAAACAGAGAATGAGATCTCCAGGAAGAACTGCAACACACTCTGATGATTCACATGGGAGAGAGCGTTGTCTGACATGCTTTCGTATATTAACCCACTCATCATCCTCGGGTCCAAAACCAACAAAGCGAACCAGTACTTCCTGAATAGAAAAACAAAATTTAATCAGAATCATTGACCAAAGTAAAAACTGTAAGACCGAAAAATAACTGCATTGTAATTTACCAACTGAAGAATTTTGAGAACTAAATTGGACAAACAAAATGGGTATTAAGAGGATAAAAAAGATATTATCCACCTAAGAATAAGATCCGTTGCATAACTATTGACAATATTATTCCAAGCAGTTGGAGCGACTAAATAACCATTTTTATGAGCATCACTCTTTGAAAATTAAGCAACCTCGTCACACCCATCCATAGCCATTTAACTCTCTCTTTGGCCCTTTCCATTCTTAAACGTTCCGGACTTGAGACTTTAGGAGGTCACTGCATGCAACCATTCTACCACAAATCACGCATCTCATGCTCGATTGGTATCATCCCCATCAGCTAAAACATCTATGCCTTTATGCTTATTTTCAATTACTTATCTCAATTCTCACCTGAGAAACCTCTCAACATGTTTGTCATATAGAATTGTGCATAAACATACAGTTTTTATCGTTTTCACTAATGCTTCATAATGGTACAAGCTTTCCTGATTCTGTAATCTGCTTTCAAAGAACCCATACTCCACTAATAATTATAAAAAAAAATAAAAAAAAAAAAGAATACAGAAAACAGAAGTAAAAACTCAAGAAAGTATGTCATTTTACGGTAATGGTCTTAGAGAATGCATATAGAATTCAGAACAGTAGTGCACCATAAAATCTTGTAAGTTAATAATCTTTAAATTAGTTGCAGCTGTACACGCACAGGGAAAATGGTTTTGAAAAATTACCGGATCACCAGACTCCAAATACCTATGGGAGAAAAAGTTAGCAACATCATACCTGTGCACAAAAGATAAGAAAATAAGATGACTCCACAGTATGATGCTACAACAGAATGGGGTACTTCCCCCAATTAGTTAACACAAGTTTCATTCTTAGAAACACCCTATCACAAGATTGAGTCAATAATATTTGAGAAAAATGCATATGCCAAAGGCTGATGCAAGTATGACAGGAAGTTGAGAACCATCTGCCGGCGCCATTATAACTCCCAAGAAGAGAGAAAATAATATGCAAAAGCCTATTTGCCGAACATGTGTTTAGCATAAAGAAGTTATCCAGTCCGAAGGAAAAAGAGACGGATCAAGTTGTTAGCTACACAGCCACTAGAATTTCTAGAAATGATTTGAGAGAGTTACCAACCATGCACCATCCCTCCCAGATTTTGCTTCAAACTCCATTATAGAATTTTCTGAAGCCCCTCTTCCCGTGCCTACAACTGGTTAAAAAGGATGAGGATGAAACAAATATAATTCATCAAAACACAACGAAATTAACACTCAAAGATTTAGCTGTTGAAAGGTGAACCCATTCAATAAAGCAATACGTTTGTACAGCTTGCTGCGTGAACTAGCAATAACAAGTAGTGAACTATATAACAAGGGAAAAAAAGTAAAGTAAATTAGCACACGTGTATGTAATGATTTAACAAGGGAAAAAAAAGGATGATGTCTAAATTTCATGCAACCTAATGACTAATGTATGGGTGTTTCACTTCTTTGGATTGCGAGGTTAGGAAAAATTCTTAGCTGTCCACCTTTGCACAACACAATGTGTGAGTAAAAACGAAAAATATATATTATAAGTCCAGAACATAAGAAAGTGCAAACAAATGGGAAACTTGAATAGAAAAATATGATTGCAAGACAGGGAGAATAGCAAGGAAAGTAAGTTTGCAGTGGAAGGAAACATGGGATCGATGAGGGAGAAAAATATAGGAAAAAAAAAAAACATTATGGCCATTGATAGGAATGTTATTCTTGATTACTCTTATTGCCTATTGCCCTTGTTGTTATTGTGCAAAATTTCATTATGCATGGGTCAAGAATCAAGTTTTTATAGGTAAAAAGAAAAGCCTAAGAATGCTTTAAAATGCCTATGGGGTTAGCTTATGCAAGAATAGTATGAGGCATACACTTGTGTTTGATAACTTTGGAGATGACTAGGGATAATTATGCAGTAGTTGGATTGACATTTGGAAGGTTCAGAGGTAATGTATTTGAATCCTGACGCCAATCAGAAAGTCAAATAACTGAGAGATTAATAGGAGTGGAAGTTATCAGAAAACTCTATGATTCACAGGCTACAGCAGTAAGGGAGCATGCAGTCATTTCCAAATAATGGTAGAAATTTAGATCAAGTCTTATCACTCGGCATTGAGGTCTTGCAGAGAATTTCCTGTGGAATAAAAGCTTGTCCTGTTACTAGTCTTTGACATCTCGTCCGAGGTTTTCCCATCCCATGGACCCATGGAACAAAATTTGTGTTCGATTATTCCCGAAGAGTTTTGGTCTATGCTAGTTGCGCTACTAGGCACAAGGAAAGATGTTTTGATGATAATTTATTATACGTATGACATATGAAATGGTGGCAACTAGCAAGGTGTAATGGATGATATAATAAGAAAATAATATTCGGGATGCTCTCTTGTTAGGGTCGAGGCTAAGCTATTATGCGTGTTGCTTGATGGACCGTAATAAGGTTTGTTCAACTTCTTTGCAGGATTTAATTAAAAAAAAAAAAGTTTCTCTGTACATTAAATGCAATATCATGGCCTTTTTCACATATTACTTCCATTGAAGGGGCAAATATAATTCTCCGGGAGATTAAAGACAGTAAACACAAGTCTCTACAAGCTCTTCTTTCTCAACCCCAAGTATTTTTTATTTTTTTATCTTCAGAAAAAAATATACTAAAGCAAATTCTGTACATTACAGAAAAAGAGAAACATAAATGTATTTAAAAAAAAAAAAAGGAACACCAGAAAGGAGAAAGTAGAAGTAAAACATGAAGAACACACTCCACCTGAAGGAGCCGGTATAGGAGCAGTTATAGCTTGAGGCACATTTCTCACTGGAGTTGGATCATCCCGAGGCATAGATGACACGCTTAACATCCCAAGATTCCTACTTAACTTTGCCCTTATAGCATATCGCCTATTTTGGAACCAATTCCAAACCTATAGTGACGATCCATATTAGAAATAGCCCTTCTAAATGATTTTTCTTAGTGAAATTAACATAATGAAATTCATCATACTTGCTTCATTTGCACCATAATCTTGCCTTTTCGTTCTACTGATTCACTGAAACAAGAGACCAATTTAATCTCTAATAATAATTATATATAAAACATAAAAAGAACATCTACAATTCTGAAGCTCTTAAAGAGACAAAGACACACCTGAACTTGTCTGCAAGATCTACAAGAATTTCACGTGCAGGCATTGTATTGTTATGTTCTTGTAGAATAGCTTCCATCTCCGCAACCTTTAAGAACGGCGCAATTCCGAAAATATGTCATTGGAAGTGTAGCAAAATCCTCTTAAATATTGCCTTTTCTCCATATTTAAGGAAAATATTCTTGCACTAACAACTCACAAATGTTGAACAACACATATATGATACATACATACATACATACACGATTATGGAATGCGTATTAACAGAATAGATATCCCCTTCAGTTATTTCTATGATGTCACAGAGATCTGTGCCATGGAGAATATGACTAATATATATATATATATATGGTGCTGAGAGATTTTTTTTTTCAATTTGGGATTTAAAAATTACATTTTATCACCATATAGTTTTATGAGACAATGAGCTCATCTTTTTGAACTAAGGGGCAATAAAGGGGCTCAATTTGTGCACTTTAAATTTTTAGGTATTTAATATTCCGAATTTCTTTTAAATTTATTGTCTTTCTCCTTTTTTTTTAATTTTAAAATTCAAAATCAAATCCATCATTTGGATAGAATTTATTATGATTTGATTTGTTTAGACTGATCTTCTAATCTCAAAAGAAATTAAAATTCCTTTTTTTTGCTAACAATTTAATTTCAAAAGAAACTCAAATTTCTCTTACCCTCCTCCTTTCTACACATTTCTTCTTCTTTTATATATGTATACATACATTACGCTGCAAAATAAAACATTACAGGAGCAACTTTTATATATATATATATATATAAAAGTTGCACCTGCAATGTTTTGTTTTGTAGCGTAATGTGTACACATTACGCTGCAAAGAAAAAAAAAATCAGGTGCAACTTTATATATATATATATATATATAGATACACATATATATACACGTGAACATCAATTCCCATCACACCCACGGCTTTATGTGTGTATGTGCGTTTTGGTGCACTGTGAAGGAATTGAATGTGACGTTTGTTTCCTTTTTTTTTTTTATCTTCCTTTTTTTATTGTTTGTTTTTGTAAGTATAATACGATTCATGTGAATATTTTTATATAAATTATATGCACATAATTTTTCATATTTTTCACTCGAATTATACTCAAAACAATCGTAGTAAATAATTTAAAAAACTTTTAATCCTTGATTTTTTTTGAAATCACATTTGACTTATATAGATTTTTAAAAAGAAATCCAAGTCTTAATGATAATCATAGGATTGTGATAAGAATGAGAAATCACACACCATGAGTGCATTAGAAATTTGTTAAGAGTATTACAAATAAAAAATCTCACACCATAAGGCGTATATAAGATTTATCTTCGTGGAGAGTGTCAAGGAGTAAATCACAGTCTCACACTTTAAAGTGTATATAGGGTTTGATTTAAATGTACTGTAACACAAAAAACTAAAATTATTAGGAATGTTTGGTTGGAGAATTCAAACCCTGATTCGAATCATAGTTCATGATTCGTTACAATATTTTCTCTTATAAAAAATACACATAAATTAAAAATAATTTTAATTCATGAATTAAATATCTCTTTAACGTAAAAAATGACTAAAATATCAAAATTATGTATTTATTTTGTTGTTTTAAAATATCACATATGTATATTTTTTCTCTCACTTCTCTTCTGCACACACGCACTTTTTTTTTCTTTCTTTCTCTCACCTCTTTTGCACACACGTCTGCACAGAGTCTTTTTTTGTTTTCTTCTCACGTTTTTTCTCACAACACACCTACAGCTTTCTATATATATATATATATATATATTTTTTTTTTTTTTTTTCTCTCTTTTTCCCTCCTTTTCCATGATATGACAAAAAAAAAGGATGAAATTTTCTTTGTGAGTTGTTAGAGAAACAAAATATTTTGATAATATAGTCTGATTATTTACAAAGAGAATTTTCGCTAAAAAAACAAATTCTAAAACTGAAAAACAAGATATCAAGAGTTAAAAAAAGGGGCAATTGAGCCGACCCATTTAAGAAATCCAACTCAAACTTACAAAATTTTGCTCTAAAACAAAATCTAATTAATCGAAATACACAAAAAGGTTACAGATTCCAAGTTTAAATTCGAGTTCTCGAATCAAAAACTGCAAATGCCCATCCAGAAATCTCAACTCTACTTTATTAAAACAAAAAAATAAAAATAAAAATCACATTCCCGAGTTTAGATTACACAATGTCAAGCAAACCGAAAAACAGAAGATGAGAGAGAGTAAAACCTCGGAAGCCGTGAAGCGGAAGGCAGGGCCTCCATTACCGGGAGGCCTACCCATCGGAGCTTCTCCCTCCCTCTCTCTCTCTCTCTCTCTCTCTCTCTCTCTCTCTCTCTCTCTCTCTCCTCCCAACTGAAGAATCCAATAGAGAGAGACTGTTGATTCTTTGTCGATTACCAACTTCTTCTTGTTTATCAAAAGCCGAGCTTTGGATTCGGACAAGACGAGACAAATTTGGTTCGAAATCTAGAATGAATTTTCGTTGGAGAGAGAGAGAGTAGTATTTATAGAAGGAGAAACAGAAAGGAAAAGGGATTTGAAATCAGGGGCAAGGTCAGGTGACTCTCGAGAGTCCAAACACGAGAGGAGTTTTTCAACTCTTTTTTTTTTTTTTTTGGACCTTTTTTGTTTTAATCGTGTAACATGGTTAAGGGTACTATCGTCCATTTGCACAATATTATTCTTCGGAAAAATTTGTAAGAGAATGTTTGTTTCATGTATCCGTTTTCAATTTTAAATTATGGTTTATAATTGTTCATAATATTTTTTTTTATAAAAATTTTAAATTTTAAAAATTAAAATTATGAATATGAAACGGACCTTAAAATTATTTTCATAAATACTCTGAAGTACTACTTCTTTTTAAGTTGTCTATATTTTAAAACCGTTCAAAATGTCTTTTAATCTATAAAAAAATTGTTTAAAATGCTCTTTTTATCTAATTCCGTCCGTAATAACAAATCTGCTGATTTGGAATGCATTATGTTAACTAGAACCTTTTTTTTTTTTTGCTGAAAAAACTAAAACCATTAAATTCTAATAAAATATATCAAAATGAATTAAGTATTAAAGATATCAATAAAAAAAACTTTATTTCAGAAGAGGAAAAAACTACCATGGATTAAGTTTCTAATTAAATTCAATAATGTATTTCGTTCAATATGGTTTACGGCTCAATTGTTTCTTAAGAGCTACGGTGTTATAAACTCTATTATTAATTACTTCTTAAAGCAAAAATTATAGGATTAGCTAGTCTTCTAGTGCTATAAATCCTAATAGTTAGTGCGTCTTGTGTACGGTAAGGTGGTGAAATTTGCTGACCCCGTTTATTTCGCTGATTCAAGTTTAAAATTCGAGTTTTGCTACAGTAAAAAACTCTCAAAAATAGTCACATCTAACTTTTTTGCTACAGTAAAAAGTTCTTACACAACATCACATCTCAATTCGAATTAAAAACTCGAACTAACGAACCGAACGGTAGAGTGCGAAATTTATTCATTTTTTCATAACTTTCATCTTGTTCTTTTTTTATCTTCTTCAAACATTCAAGTAAGTATTTTAATATTTGACATCAACTTGTATAGCTATTGTTTACGCATATTCTTATTGTCAAGCCAAGGTTTCATTGCTTTTATTATTATTATTTTTTTAAGTGAACACATCTCCTAATAAATACTAGGGAAAATACAGGATATATGCTTTTGTTATTATTTTTTTAAGTGAACACATCTCCTAATAAATACTAGGGAAAATACAGGATATATGCTTTTGTTATTATTTTTTTAAGTGAACACATCTCCTAATAAATACTAGGGAAAATACAGGATATAGTATATTTGATAGATACTTTTAAAGTAAATAGCATAATTTATCAAACGTGATAGATGAAATAGCATAATTAGGTTTCGTTCATTTCACCGATTTGAGTTTTCAGTTTTTACCGATTTGAGTTTTCAGTTTTAAGTTTTTATAATAAAAATTTTTTTAAAAATGTCACATATAACTTTTTCTGTTACAGTGAAAAGCTCTAAAAAATGTCACATCTCAATTCAAATTAAAAACTCAAATTCACAAAATGAACGAGGCCTTAAGAGGTTATTTGGTTGGGAGATTCGTATCCCGATTCGAATCATGATTCATGATTTGTTATAATATTTTCTCTATTAAAAAATACACATAAATTAAAAATAATTTTAATCTCATTATTCTAATTCATGAACCAAACGTCTCCTAATTATTACCCCAACTAAGGGTCCGTTTAGTTTGCTGATTCGAATTTTTAATTCGAATTAAGATGTGATTTTATGTGAGAGTTTTTTACTGTAATAAAAAAATTAGATGTGATTATTTATGAGAACTTTTTACTATAATAAAACTCGAATTAACGAAATGAACAGCCTAAACCTATCCTTTCACTTTCTGTTTCCATTTTTCCCTCTTTCTCACGAGATTCTTCTCTCTCTCTTTCTACGGATCTGCTCACTACTCAGACACTTACAAACATCGCTGACCAGATCGCAACGACGACGACGAGACGGCGGTGGCGACATGACGAGACGCTAACCATCGAGCACCGTCGTGATCTCCGGAAGCTGCACCTCCAATCTCGGCGACTTCGATCTCGCGAATTTCTCCCTCTCTCCACCATCGCGTTCTCTGAAAACCGTGCCTCCGGTCTCGACAACTTCGATCTCTCTGCCGTCGCGATCTTCTGAACTTCGCAGCCGGCGACCCTCTCTCTCTATTCGCCGCGTGATCTCCAGAACCCGCACCTTCGAATCTCGTGAATTTCTCTTTCTCCGCCTTCCCGTTCGCCGAAACTTGAGCCTCCGATCTCGGCCACTCTGATCTCACGATTCTCTTTCTCCGCCGTCACAGATCGGTTTCGGGAACTCGCAACCTCCGTCGCAAAGCAAATCCAGGCTAGACCCCCACCGCCGTGAACTTTTCCGGTGCCGTATGAGAAGGCCAATACAATTTCTGAGTTTTTTGGTGTATTTTGCTGAGAAGGCCAAATAGATTTTTTTTTTTTTTTTTTGTGTTTTTTCATGATTTAAGTTTGTTTTTTTTTTTTTTTTTATTGTGATTCTGAGATTGAGATTGTGATTTTCTGGATATGATTTTACTTGTGAATTTTATAGTTCTGTTTTGTTATTTCTAGATCTGAATGAACTTGCGGTTTTTGTAGTTGTTATCGTTGTTATCTTTTTTGTGGAGCAGTCATCTTGCAGAGCAAGTCATCTTACAGAGCAAGTCATCTTGCAGAACAAGCTTTCTGTTAGTTTGAACCAGCTTTCTGTTAGTTTAGTTAAGCTTTCTGTTTGTTTTGCTATCTTGCTTTCTGTTTGTTTTGTTTCCACTCGTAATTTATATGTAGACTTTGGTTCACGGAAGAATTATTCTTAATTTATGTATTTTTTTTAAAAAAAATATTGTAACGAATCACAAATTATAATTTAAATTATTATATGAATACACTAATCAAATAAAAATATGTAATAATATACAGAATTCCTCAAACATTTTTGTTAGTAAGGTCCTGTTTATTTTATCGATTTGAGTTTAAAATTTGAGTTTTGTTATAGTAAAAAACTCTCAGAAACAGTTATATTTATTTTTTTTATTATAATAAAAAAACTCTCATAAAGTTACATCTCAACTCAAATCAGTGAATTAAAGGACGTAAATTTCTTTGTACTGTTTTAGAATTATTATTACTTCTAACCCAAGTCAAATATATCACACACACACACTACATATAGCAACAACCGAAGTTCACTTCTTCAGTTCTCACAACTGCAAAATCTCTCTCTCTCTTCATCAGAACAAAAGTCTCTCTTTCTCCAAGTCTCTTTACTGCTGCAGTTTACAGTTTCCACAATGGGGTTTCTTCCCAATGGTAGAGGTGGAGGTGAAGGCCGAGGCCGACGTCCTACGAATAATGTTTGGGTGAGGCTCGGAGGTCCGACAAAAGAACGAAACCAAAACGATGTGAGAAAAGATACACTTTGCAAGTTTTGGGCCACTGGACGTTGCTTCAAAGGAAATCGCTGCCCCTACATGCATTCCCAGTCTCATGGTATTGAGGTAATCTCTCTTCCTTCTCTTTCTTTTCTTTTCTTCAAAGTTTGAATAAATATTTAAAGATTTAAACAATAGATTCATGTTCGAATGACTTGAAAGCTTTGGTAAAATTGCTCATAAAGTGGATTTAGGAGATTTTTGGATATATATAAAAAAAAAAAAAAAAAAAAAAAAAACTTGGTTTACCATTTACATGGCTTAAATTGGTTTTCAATTCTCTTGTTTAGGATTAGTGAAGCTTGTATTTAATCTACATCACTTGTAGTGAAACTTGCAGCAAATTTAGCCCAATTGTTCTTCTCTATTCTTCTTTTGGGAGAGTATGTTGAACAGGATTGAACTAAACAATGTTATGGATACAAAGGAGATGGATACAGGGCTAGACACGTTCTTATAAGATTCATCAACTTCTTTATTGAGACTTTGAAATGCTAATTTTGTTTAATTTTTTTTTTAATTTTTTTAATTGAATGTGCTGAGCAGACACAAAGATTGCGCATTCTTCTGAAAGAGACAAGCTAAAGTCAGACGACAACAAGAAGGAGATGCCAATTTGTAAATTAATTGCACCACTGCAAAGGCACACTGGGGTAATCCTCTCTTCCTTCATTTTATTTTATTGTGCGTTTTTTCTTTGTTTTTCTTGTTGTTTTCCTCTTTTGCTCTCTACTTCTTTTGTTTGACTATTGATTGTTATCTTGTTCATTAACGTTTTTATTCATATTGTGCATTTTATTGCGGAACATATATTCTGGAGCATAAACACATAAATCTCAGTTGAACAATAAACTACTTAATTTATGACTCTTACAAACAAGAGAAGCCTAAAATATGGAGACACATGAACCTAGAGTCCTGATCAGAGACTAGGGCCCGTTTAGTTCGTTGATTCGAGTTGAGATGTGATTTTATGTGAGAGCTTTTTACTGTAGTAAAAAAGTTAGATGTGATTGTTTGTGAGAACTTTTTACTGTAGCAAAACTCGAATTCTAATCTCGAATCAGCGAAATGAACGGGGCCAACTTCATTCAAGTTTTTGTTTATTTGTTTTTATTTATACTCAAAACCAGATAAAACCTGATTGGCAAGTGTGCAAAATAATTTCAAAGCCTAGGAATCCATTCAAAGGACTATTGACATCTTGTTCAATATCGTTTTATTCATTCGGTCTGGTTTGTTTCGATTTGCCTCTATTTTGGATTTTGCTAGATATGTTTGTATGTTTTATTTGAGATTAAAAGTTTATTTTAATACAAAGAATCTTTGTTACTCCTCTTTTTTTTTTTGGTTATGTTTTTTTATTGACTAGTCATCAGCTATTCTTTTTGTAAGAGATTGCTAACAGCTTCTTCATTCTGACTTCTAAATGCTAATTTGGTTTAAATTTTTTATTGCTAGTTCAATGTGTGTGAGCAAGCAGACACGGATATTGCATATCCTCCCGCCGGAGACGAGCCAAAGACGGACAATAACATGGAGATGCTTTGCAATGTTTCCATTATTGCAACTCTCCAAGGACACACCAAGGTAATCGTCTCAGCTTTTTGTTTTTTATTATTATTATTTTTTATTTTTTAAATATCCTCTCGTAGTTTTCTATGGTATGTTATATTCGTTTGTTTTTGACTATTCATATCTTGCCCATTAATGTTTTATGTGATATAGTCTATTTTGCTTTAAATTTCTTTGTCTTCATACAACACTTAAAAATGCCAGTTTGGTAGCGCCGCCGTAAATTTTAGAAAAATTACTGTTAATTGTATTAAAAAAACACAGTTGTTATAAAAAATAATTGAGTGTTTAGTAAATTGTAATTATACAAGTATTGATTTTAAGAGTATTATACGTATTATGAAAGTTTCATTAATTGTACTTCAAGGTAATTACCGCATAATCTAAAAGTGAAAGTTACTTTTAAATTGCTTCTGATTTTAACTATAAATTCTTTAAAAATTCTTTGAAAATCACTTTTTATGGTTTTTACCGAATACAACTTTTAACCGTAGATTATTAGAAAATTAATTTAAGCTCTATGAATCACTAGTAAATATTAGTGTTGGAACTTCGGGTCGGCGGGCCGCCCGAAGGCCGAATTTTTTCGGGCTCGGGCGGACCGGCCCAATTCCCGCCCGTCCAAGCAAGAAATTCGGGTTCGGGCTCGGGCAGCCCGGATTTGACATGTCCCCCCTTTGCCCGCCGGCGTCTAACCACCGTATACCGCCGTCCACCGGGATTTTTTTGCATTTTTCCGACCAAGCCCGAAGTGCCCGACCCGAAAATTGGGTGTGCCCGAATTGCCCGACCCGAAGCCCGAATTTTTGAATTTTTTGAATTTTGCCCAAATTTTTCCCGCCTGCCCGACTTGCCTGACCCGCCCGAGGTGCCCGAATTACCCGAATACGGCTAGTTTTTTGAATTTTTACCCAAATTCGGCCCGAAAACCCGAGTTGCCCGAACTGCCCGAATTGCCCGAAA